TCGGGTAAAGAACACTTACCCCAAACCAACACGTGCAAAATCCCTCAAACATTGCTCAAATCTGAGGACTACCACTCAAGATATGATAAAAATGGCCAAACACTCCAAATAGAGTTATTATATTCTGCCTAGTGAATTATACATCATGATCGCAGAACATCCTTCACGATCGCGAAGAGAAAAAAACCTTCAGTTGCCAAAACGTTCTTCGCTCCAAAAATTGATCACGTCCAAAACACACCTCAAAAGAGATAGGAAACGGTCGTTTGCAATAATAGAAATCCAACTAAGAGTCAGGGTCGAATCCACAGGAAGCTAAGATGGGGGTTAGGGATATATATTTCATTGTGAGTGATTGAATTATCTAGATTACACTTCCACACAAAGATTTATTTTTTATTTCTAATTTTACTCTATTGATTGCAAAATAAAGGAAGAAGACGACAGAAAATTGTTCTTAAGGTTTTTTCAAATGGATAAAAAGCTTAGGGGGTTGTGACTATTACCTAGGTGTTTGCCTAATGGGATAAAGACTTTAATGCTTGTTTCGTTGATTGGGGTGTATTATAGCTATCAACTCTAATTTACCCACTCAGTACCTCTTGGTCAAAGAGTGGTTTTGCCCAATTTGGCTTTCTCAAGACCAAATGGGTATCACCCAAAATAGTTGATAAGAGCTCAAGTCGGGTTATGGCTATCTCTAGGTTGAACCCTTTAATTGGGTTAATCAATCTCTCAATTGACCCATTTTTTTATTGGCTAAGTTATCCTAGACTAAGTCTCTCTTTCTCAAGTAGAGACTAGTCAAATAGGCATGAACTAATGCTTGCAACCATTAATTCCACAATTAAAGCATGAACAAAGCTAAATACCCAATCATAAACAAGTACTAAATTAGATACCCATAAGGTTTACACACTAGGGTTGGGTCACAATCCTAGTAGAAATCTAACTACTCATAATTAGGTTTGAAGAAAATAGAGAAGAAGAACTAATTAAACTCATAGTGGAAGCTAAAAATGATTAAGTCTATTATAAATACACCAAAGCAAAGTAAAAACTTCCTAAAATAGAAAAGAAAAATGGCTACAGCAACTTCAGAGGTTTAAACTTGACCTAATTTTATGAAACTTGTCTATTTATACAAGGCTGAAAATCTCGGACAAAAATGCCCATCGGGAGGTTCTGCGGCCGCACAATTCCATGTGTGGTCCGCAGATTTCTTCATCTAGAAGGAGCTGGAGTTCTGCGGTCGCACAATTCTGAATTGCGGCCGCACATTTTTAGACTGCGGCCGCAAGGCAACTATTCTGTGGTCCGCAGATTTAGGACTGCGGTAGCACAATTCACTGGGGCTCTGAATTTGGTCTTTTTGCATACTCTCTAATCTTCAACTCTTAGCCCAGCTTTGTAGCCCGTACAATTCATGTGCGGTCCGCAATGTGCGCAAATGTCTGCTACTTTTCCTTCTTTGTTTGCGGCCGCAGATGGAATTCTGCGGCCCGCAATTTCTTCTGCTGCCGTAGAATTCCTTTTGCGGACCGCACATTTGTGCTTCCGCGGCCTTTATTATCTTGTACTTCGGACTACTCCTTTTTGAGTCGAGTTTCATCTCGGGAGACCAACTTTCAGCATTCCTACAATTTTGCATAATTTCATTAGTTTTGGGAATATAATCCAATGCATTTAGACTGAAACAAAAGGTAAGAGGCGCTAATAAGCAATCAAAATCCCCACTTATCAGAACGCAACATAAAGGTCATGAACGCGGTGACCAAGATCATCAGACTTTATGCAAACGCGTCTATGTACTCGCAAACGCGAAGAGAAATAATGCATGATGCCCTTCCTACTTTACCTATGCGCTATCGCGGACCACTGTATGCGAACGCGAAGACAAAAGTCTTCCAACCTTCGCGAACGCGATCTCCTATTCACGAACGCGAAGAATAATTACTGCATGCCTCCAAATTAGACTACATGAACACGATGAAGAAAAACCAGATAACGGAACCATCATTCCAAAACATAATAAAAATGGTCCGTGTCCCATCCAAAACACATCTGGGGTCCCCGAGACCCCGTCCAAACATACCAATAAGTTCCATAACATAACGCAGACCTGCTCGAGGCCTCAAATCACATCAAACAATATCAAAACTATGAATCACACCTCAAATCGAACTTAATGAACTTTCAACTTCTACAACCCGCGCTGAATCATATCAAATCAATCTGGAATGACGTTAAATTTTACATGCAAGTCTCAAATGACATAACTAGGTAATACAACTTTTAGAATCTCAATCGGAGGCCGATATCAACAAAGTCAACTCCCGGTCAAACCTCTTAACTTTCCAAGCCTTCAACTTTTCAACTTTTGCCAAAATGCATCAAATTAACCTGCGGACCTCCAAATCCGTACATATGCCTGAGTCCAAAATCACTATACGAAACTATTGAAAATATCAAAATACTCTTCTGGAGTAGTCTACACAAAGTCAAACTCTGGTCAACCCTTTTCACTTAAACTTCTAAAATAAGAATCATCCTTCCAAATCAATCCCGAATCATTTGAAATCCAAACTCGACCACACACGTCATAATACATAATACGAATCTGGTCGAGACCTTACACCACCGAACGGGATGCGACCGATCGGGTCGTTATAACTATCAACCAACACTACCACCAGCCACTATCCAGTCAACCACAACTATCATTGTTAGTCATCATCACCACTAACTACCATATAATTTTTAAAAGTATTTTATTAATATTGGATTATATTATTTAGTACTATTTGATTTAAATTTATACTTATTAGTTTTTGAATAAAGACAAGTTTTACACAATCAAATGTAGAGAAAACAATAGTCTTAGTTATTCAATATTCAGATCTTAGTATAACATCTTAATATTCAAATGTGTATTCAGATTCAGACATTCTAATCTTAATACACATATTAATATACAGATGTATATTCAAATTCAGACATTTATTCAAATTCAGACGTCTTAATGTTAATAAAAACAAATGAGGCTTAATTGAATTCCTCTATTGAAAATTTTCCGCCTTTAATCAGCGGACTTGGAATCGATTTTTATAAATGAATCAATACTAATAACAAACCTAGTATATTTTTATAAGTGGGGTATGAGAAAGATATATGTACGCAAACCTTACCCCTACCTTTAAAAAGGCAGAGAGGTTATTTCTAGTAGACTCTTGGCTTGGGAAAGATAAAGGGAAGGGGCAATGACAATGACAAGGTAACCAATCAGAAATCAAGTGAACACAAAACTAACTCTAGGTAGTGCAATTAGAAAAGCGAAGCAAAGGCAACAACAAGTAATAGCAGAAGTCTAGAAATATAAAAATACACGAAAGACACTAAGTGATGTACTAAAACGTATGTAACAAACAATGACAACACTAGGCTACCTAACCCTCTACCATAATCCTCAACATTCACCCCTTCTTATTCATGGTCATGTCCTCAGTAAGTTGGAGCAACGCCATATCATGCCTAATCACCTCTCTCCAATACTTTTTTGGCCTGCCTCTACCTCTTCGTTGGTCCTCCAAGGCCAACCTCTCACACCTCATCACTGGTACATTTGTGCCTCTCCTCTTCACATGCTTGAACCATCATAGTCTCGCCTCCCGCATCTTTTCCTCCACAGAGGCTACGCCCACCTTCTATCGGATAACTTAATTTCTAATTCTTTCTAAACTGGTATGCCCGCACATCCATTTCGACATTCTCATTTCAGCCACCTTCATCTTTTTTACATGGGAGTTCTTGACTAGCCAACACTCCACTCCATACAACATAATCGGTTTGACCGTCGCTCTATAAAACTTCCCTTTAAGTCTAGGTGGCACATTCTTTTCATACAAGACACCGGTTGCGAGCCTCCGTTTCATACATCGCGCCCCAATACTCATAAAATAATCAACATTTAAGCAACTTATAGCCTAATATAGATACTGTTTAAGAAAATTATTGCGTAGACTCCATGTAATATCCGTCATGTGATTGGAAGTAGTAAATACATGGTATTTTGATGGATAATTAATATCACAGTAATGAAGTTTTTTTACTTTTCACAGTAATTAAAAAAGTCCCATGCGTATTTTGTCAGTCATAAACAAAGACCTTGACTTTCGTGACCAACACCAATATTCTTCATTTGAATATACTTTGGCCACTTGACTTGGTCGCTTTTGTTTTCGCATTTTCCAAACTACTACTACTATCATTGTCAGACAAGTTAAAATTCTACATATCCATATCAAATATTCTCAATTAATGTGATACTTTTTCTAGTCGATTTAAAAATATGTAATATTTTTATTTGAAAATAATTATCTGTATAATTCTTATTTTATTCTTAATAAATTGATGTACGACCGCATAAATATTTATAATTTATTTTAAATCATAAATTTTGACCTTACTTTTTAAATTTCATGTCGAGTCAAACATTAAACACTGAAACATAAAATAGACTGGGGAATATCTTAGCAGTAATTAAATAAAGAACACCGTATCTGATTAAGGAAGCTTAATATCTGCAAGTCAAAGTAATGCACCTTCTTTTGTCACATTTCGTAACAAGCCAAAACTATTATGCATCTTCTTCTACATCTTATAACCATAATCTTCCAAAGCGACGGCGCGGTATGCCTTTTTTATTTCGTCCAGAGTATATGCCCTCTACCTATAAATGCAGCTCTCCTTTAATAATATTATATCTGTACAAATTTAAAAAATGGGGGCTCTCACTAAACTCTACCTTCATTTCCAGTATCTTATCACCATTTTCTTCTGTTCATGGCTCCCTCAAGTATAAAAATTCATTTTGTTAGTTACTTTTGTTTTATTGAATACATACAGACAAAGACAGCTCGCGAGAAACAGGTGCAAGGAAAGTATATATAGACGAGAAGAGCTCCAAATTTGTTTACAGAAGATCAATTAAAAAGTTAATTATGGGATTATCAGATGGAAAAGAGCCACTTGAATGTGCGATTTGCATATCAGAATTCAAGTATGGAGATAAGGGTAGAAAGCTTGAGAATTGCGGTCGTATGTTCCATGAAAACTGTTTGGGAAAATGGCTAATGCATGGGAATGGACAATCGACTTGTCCACTTTGTCGAGGTATTATAATATTGGAAAATATATTTGAGAAACAGATAAAAGATGAAGATGAAGGACAAACGAAAAATAACTTTGAGGAAGAGTTAGCTATGCTTTTGCTATCTAGTTTGAGTTGTAGTACGTAGTTGTTGGCAACGGTGTTAAAGTCCCAAAATTTTATTTGTTTCACTAATCCCTCGTGTGGTAAGGTTCATAATAAGAGGGCCAAAAGCGCTTAACTTTGACCGTCAATTTAGACATAAATTTTTCAGTTTATGAAAATACAACAACAACCACAACGAAAACTCAGTGAAATCTTACTAGTGGGATGGGAGGGTAGTTCAACAACTCAGTGAAATTCACAAGTCATATTAATTTTTAGTTGAATATATTTATAAAATATTTGAGAAAAACGTAGTTAAAAAAGAGCCACTTTAACTTTCCAAATTAATACTCCTTAGTATATTTATATTTTAAACTAAATTTCTTCTTGAAAATAGTTCAAAGCCTAATTTGCTGAAGTAGTTTCACAGTATTAATTTTAGAAAAAACGCATAAGAAACCCACAAATCTTTGAATAAATAACTACGTAGAACATAAAGAATTGCTAGAAATTTAAAAGATGACATTCTAAAGGGAATCTTACATAAATATTCCAAAAAAGTTTTAATTTATCAACCTATAGCCATTAACCGTAAACTTACCAAAACTAGTCAAGCACATATAAAAATTAAAAAACCAAAGAAATAAGGTCCTTTCTCTCCAAGAATCATACACAAAGATCTCCTTCCATATTTTCAAGCGTGATCAGAAACATTAGATGCAAGACGGAAAGGAAATTTTATGGATAACATAGCAAATAAAGTGATGTAATACAATATATATNTGGTTGAGATTCATTGAAAACATATAGATGAGTCAATATACAAAATTTAAGGAAGATTGAAGGTGATTTAGACTAATTTGGTATCAAAATTTGTAGTTAAAATCGAGTTTAATTTTTTTTTCTGCGACACATCTATCAAACAAGTATCACGCATGTATCTAACACATGTATACATGGATATACATGTGATACACATTTGATATATATGTGATACACAATTGATACACAGTATGATACACATATTATTTTTTTCATGTTCACCTTCTACTTCGAATTTTCAATTCAAACTACCTCAAAACTCCACTAAAGCATTCCAAAACTGAGATTCAAGCTCATTAATATGTATTCAATCTATTCTGATAACACACACCCAAAAGAAAGCAAAAATTTGACCTTTTTGGCTACAAATATCTAATTGACTAATATTAGTAATATTTTATGAATTAGCCATTTTTTATAATAAGTTACTTGTAAATGGACATTGCTCTAATTTCCCATTCCTTATTTTTTAAGAAGAAAAATGGACTTTGTGGTGAGTAGATAAGTACAACTGAATAAAAGCCTAATTTCTGAGAATGTATCTTTTTACTCTTTCTTTCCTTTCCTTTTTTCCTCCTTTCGGCTCTCTCCCCCTCTCAATTTACTAGTATATATCATACTAGGAATCCTAGCCAAAAGAGCCATATCCTGTCAATTTGGTAAAGAAATAAGACATAAAAGTCTACGAAAATATAATCACACCCTGCATGTTTTGCATATTAGTGTGTAAAATTTCAAATCATAGACCAATTGACTTCATTTGAAAAACTGATCAAATGGTCCTTAATGCATGGAATTTAGAGCCATACAAGGCGGGCTAGCCAGTTTTCGGACTGGTAATTGAAAAATAGCCAGCATTTTCAAAGTTATTGAAAAGAAGTTACTATTTTACTGTAACACGGAAAGTTCGAGCATAATATACTGGGGACTGTGCACCTGTGTATGAACTTCCAACATATTATGTTGGACCAGTATTTTATGCTCGAACTCCAGTATATTATGTTGAAAGTTCACATGTAAAAAATTCTAACTATAGTATATTATGCTGGAATATTTTTCGAATTTTGAATAGTTTTTTCGTTCAGATTTATCTTTACATGAAAAGAGGCTAAATTTCGATTACTTTTGAAACCGTGGCTATTTTTTAATTACCACTTATAAATCTGGTTATTTTTAAATTTACCCCTAATAAGGGTAGTTCGGGCTTTGCCTGGCCCCACATAAACAAAGCTATGCTATTATAAATTGAGGTATAGTGAGAATATTTGCAAGGAATGAGCTTGTGTCCAAAAGAGAAATAGAAAATTATAGGGTTACCACATAAGTGTTACTCTTTATAAGCCGTCTATTTCTAATATTTTATTATTTCAAGTCAGTAGCATTCTTTGGATATACAAACCAACAAATACAGAAACCATAATGCCAAAGTCTTCAAAAAACGGATTCTTATTCAAAGAGCGCATGACCGCATGGATAAGCTTCCACTAATTCGTCAATTTTGGATCCAAATTCGAGATGGTCTTCCGGCAGTACATGCTGATATGGATCTGTGCGAGATAGCAACAATTAGAATTGCTATCAACAATTATGATAAACTATTATATATGCCAAATCAACTCTAGCAACAGTGAAATAAATCTTGCCATTATATAATTAGAAGACATAATTGTAAGAATCAATTCCTAGTCAAAATACTTCTGGTTCAGGTTGATAATTCAGAAGCAGCAAAAATAAAACACATTTGATGTAGGCATGTATTAGTTACTTTAATGTGTAGGTAAACATTATGTTTAACCAAGGACTTAACAGACCACTTGTACAATACTCTGAAAATAGCGTATAGTGTACTTATGAGCATGGACATAGACAAGCTAGGTTAACCAATCATAGCACAGAATATTAAGGTTCAAATGACGGTTGCACAAGAAATAAAAAATAAAAGATAGTAGTAGTTATTCTTCATGACCATGCAAATGTAGATGTAGTAGCACATGTTGCACAACATATATGACATTTTTGGTTTAGAGTACAAGGATAATGAAATGGAATATACCGGCCAGTTCAACAGCTACTATAGTCATAAAAGCACCAGCAGACTGCCCGATAAACGTGATCATTGCGATGTTGCTGTGAATTACTTGGGGTTAATTCAGAGATGAATCTGAAAATATCAAACCTACCCACAGTCTAACAGCAACAATAGTTTTTTCTATATAGAGAACCCGTGACAAACAAATATCCAGTTTTACAATTCAATCAAAAAGAGAGAAACCTTAACGGGTTTAGAATCTAGCAGGTTCTGACATATAAAAACAACAACAAGGTTCTGTTCGTTGTTTAATTATGCAATTCCATCATTCTGTTGTACATAGTTTCTATAACTTTTCTTATTAGAATGTTAAAAGTTTGATTTCGTGAATGACACTTTACCGTAAACTGTTAAATGCTTTCTACTTTGATTGGTTATGCATATATTTTGTAACGACTCGACCCGTCGTTTTGAGCTTTAAGGTTTCGTTCAGTGGTTCGAGGTCTTGAGTGGCATCATATTTTATTTAATTATGCCTTGTATGCATGGTCGGATTTGATTTTCAGATGTTTCAGGATAAATTTGGATGAGTGATTCTCAGTTTAGAAGCTTAAGTTGAATATGTTGACCGACATTTGCCTTTTGTGAAAATGACATTAGAACGGTATTTTTATGGCTCTGATGAGTTCGTATTGTGATTTTGGACTTGGGTGTATGTCTGGAATCGAATTCGGAGGTCTGTAGGTTGATTGGTGTTGTTTTGCCGAAAATTGGCAACTTGAGGTTTAGAAGTTTGACCATAGATTGACATCATAGCTATCGTATTTGGATTTCTGTTTCGGGACTTGAAATTAGTCCGTTTTGTCCTTTGGAATATGTCCGCAAAGTTTGACAGCATTTCGAGTTGATTTGATAGGAATCGAGCGCGCGATTTGTTTTTAGAATTTTTTGAGTTTCATTGAAGATTTCATATGTTTTGGAGGTCTGATTCATGGTTTCGGATGTTGTTTTGATGGTTTGATCGATCGAGCGAGTTCATGTTATGTTATTAGACTTGAATTGATATTTGGCTTGGAGTTCCGAGGGTTCGGGTGAGTTTCGGACGTGTTTCAGAGTGTTTGGAAGAATTCTAATATTGCTCGTTTTTGCACAGGTGCTTCAGGTCTCGCATTTGCGACAACATCAAGGGTGTGAAGGTCTTCGCTTTTGCGATTAATTACTTGCATTTGTGGGGTTTGCATTTGCGACACTTCATAAAAGCTAAGGGACGAGATTTTAGTCTCATTTTTATATCTTTGAACCCTAGACATCATAGAGGCGATTTTTAAAGAAGATTTACTTCCCAAATTCATTGGTAAGTATCTTTAACAAGATTTCAATCAATTTCAACTACTTTTTCATGACTCTTAATATTAAATCCAAGAAATTCATGGTAGAAGTTAGGGGTTTTTGGTAGAATTTGGGGGGTTTGAAAAAATAGAGATTTAGACCTTAAATTGAGGTCGGATTTCGAAATAAATTGCATATCCGGGTTCGAGATTGAGTGTATAATCGGGTTTTGGCCTGAGTCTCGAGTTTGAACCAAGCGGGCACAGGGTTGACTTTTGTTTACTTTGGAAATTTTGGCCAAGATCGGCCCTTTATTGATTGAGGATGTTTCCTTTAGCATTATTTGATTTTGTTAGATGATAATTGACGAGGTGTCACGACCCAATTTCACCTATAGGTCGTGATGGTACCCAACATCGCAGTTAGGCAAGCCAACTAGTGAATTATGTAAATATTCAATTCTTTAAAAATTATCCGAGTAATTAAACTCTTTTTACGTGCAAGAATTTAAGAAAATATGAAAGATTTGGTAAATTAAAAACTAAGAAAATAATTAAATCCAAAATTCTACTAGTGTGTGCCAAGACTTGGTGTCACAAGCGTATGAGTATCTAATAGATTATACAAAATTTTAAATACTGTCTGAAATAAAATAGACAGAATAAATACAAGAAGAGCCATTAGTTATTGCTGAAATATTTACACATCTTAAATTGTAGTTACTAGTAGTTTCCTGTCTTTAATTCGTCCCAACTTAATTCGGTCTTCTTATAATGTTAGATTAGAACAATTTTTTTAATTCTTTGAGTGCCTTTGTAGACATTTTTCAAGCTACTTTGATAAGTAACTATTAAAATTCGTCATTTAACATTGAATAACTCATGAAATATAGTAGTTACTACATATTATTTATTTCAACTTATATTTAGAATTAAAAATGCTAAGAGAAACTGTATAAGTAGAAGAATACTCTAATTGGCAAACTCAATCAGGTAAAAAGTGTTAATTCAATTACCGTTAATAATTTCTATATCAGTTTGCTCGGTTGAAAAAGTTTTTCAAAACTAAATTAATAAAGTTCAACATAATAACAAAAGAGAGATTAAACAAATTGGTTAGACATTGACAATAATTAAAACTGATTATAACTTCTATAGATTTTGATAAATTATAAGAGTACAAAAAACAATTAAAAAAAATTAAGACCTCAGTTTTTATTTTTGCCTTAGGCCCAGTATTATGTGGAGTGGCCCCTGTATAGAATTACTGAATATTCGTCATGTGATTGGAAGCAATAAATACATGGTATTTTCATGGATAATGAATATCCCCAGTAATGAAGTTCTTTTACTTTTCACAGTAATTTAAAAAGTCCCGTGCGTACAGTCAGTCATAACCAAAGACCTTACTTGCGTGATCAACACCAATATTCTTCATTTGAATATACTTTTGGTCGCTTTTGTTTTCGCATTTTCTAAACTACTGCTACTACTATCATTGTCAGACAAATTAAAATTCTACATATCCATATCAAATATTCTCAATTAATGTGATACTTTTTCTAGTCTATTTTAAAAAATGTAATATTTTTTAATTGAAAATAATTATCGGTAGAATTCTTATTCTATTCTTAATAAATTGATGTACAAACACATAAATATTTATGATTTATTTTAAACCATAAATTTTGAAATTTTTTTTTCTTTTAAATTTTATATCGAGTCACACTGACACATAAAATGAGACCGGGGAATATCTTAGCACTAATTAAATAAAGAACACCATATCTGACTAAGGAAGCTTAATATCTGCAAGTCAAAGTAATGCACCTTCTTTTGTCACATTTCGTAACAAGCCAAAAATATTATGTATCTTCTTCTACATCTTATAACCATAATCTTCCAAAGTGACAGCGCGGTATGCCTTTTTTATTTCGTCCACAGTATATGCCCTCTACCTATAAATGCAGCTCTCCTTTAATAACATTATATCTGTACAAATTTAAAAAATGGGGGCTCTCACTAAACTCTACCTTCATTTCCAGTATCTTATCACCATTTTCTTCTGTTCATGGCTCCCTCAAGTATTAAAATTCATTTTATTAGTTACTTTTGTTTTATTGAATACATACAGACAAAGACAGCTCGCGAAAAACAGGTGCAAGGAAAGTATAGACGAGAAGAGCTCCAAATTTGTTTACAGAAGATCAATTAAAAAGTTAATTATGGGGTTATCAGATGGAAAAGAGCCACTTGAATGTGCGATTTGCATATCAGAATTCAAGTATGGAGATAAGGGTAGAAAGCTTGAGAATTGCAGTCATATGTTCCATGAAAACTGTTTGGGAAAATGGCTAATGCATGGGAATGGGCAATCGACTTGTCCACTTTGTCGAGATATTATAATATTGGAAAATATATTTGAGAAACAGATAAAAGATGAAGATGAAGGACAAACGAAGAATAGCTTTGAGGAAGAGTTAGCTATGCTTTTGCTATCTAGGTTGAGTTGTAGTAGTTGTTGGCAAAGGTGTTAAAGTCACAAACCTTCTGAATGGTTCAAAGGGCCTAACTTTGACTGTAAATTTAGACAAAAAACCCGTAAGTTTCTTTAAAATAAAATTTATTTATTTAAAAATTATATAAAATATTATGTAAGTTATAATAATTTTTAATAAAAAATATTTATAAAATATTTAAGAAAACATAGTAAATAAAGAGCCTCTTTGACTTTCCAAATTAATAGTAATAGTGCCACATTAATTAAAAAATAGTTCATAGCCTAATTTGCTGAAGTAGTACGGTTTGTGTTATAAATATATTATATTATGGATGTTCATTTAGTACTCCGTTGTAAATAAGCTTTCTGAAGAAGCTTATCCATATGAGATTGCGCCGTAAATATGTTTATCTATTTTGTACTCTATTGGAAATAAGCCTCCTAAAGAAGCTTATCTTTTCAATACCCCGTTATGGATAAACATTACCCCGGTAGAAGATTATCTATATCTGGTACAATAAGCTTATCCTTTCCGTACCCCGTTATGGATAAACATTACCTCCGGTAGAAGATTATCTATATCTGGTACAGTAGCAGATTACACAGCAGCTTGCTTTCTTCTATAAATAGAGAAGATTTCAGTTCATTATGTACATAAGTTTGAGGTTTGAATAATATATCAGTTTCTCTCTATACTTGTCTTTAATTTACAGTCTTTATTTCACAACACGTTATCAGCACGAGACTCTGCCATCTCGCACAAATACTTTGAAAGTATCAGAGGTATGAACTTTCCTTTTCTAAATAATGTCAAATCTTTCTAAACTTGAATTTGTAGCCACGGATATATCAGGCAAAAGCTATATGTCTTGGGTGCTTGATGCTGAAATTCATCTTGATGCAATGGGTCTGGCAGACACCATCAAGGACAAAAATCAAGCATCAAACCAAGACCGTACCAAAGCAATGATATTCCTACGCCATCACCTTGATGAAGGCTTGAAAATAAAATATCTCACTATTAAAGATCCAGTCATACTGCGGAATAATTTAAAAGATAGATATGACCACCTGAAGATGGTCGTTCTTCCACAGGCACGTTATGATTGGACTCATATAAGGCTACAAGATTTTAAATCTATCAGTGAGTATAATTCTGCTATGTTCAGAATTATTTCCCAATTGAAATTATGTGGTGATAATATTATTGAACGTGATATGTTGGAGAAAACTTTCACCACTTTTCATGCCTCGAATATGCTCCTGCAGCAGCAATATCGAGAGATGGGATTCAAAAGGTATTCATAACTTATCTCATATCTTCTTATAGCCGAGCAACATAATGGGGCTATTAATGAAAAACCATGAAAGTCGACCTACTGGTTCTTGTCTATTCCCTGAAGTGAATAAGACGAACTTCCACCAAGCTAAGCGTGGAAGAGGACATAGCCCCAATCGTAGTCATGGCCGTGGTCTGGGAAGAAACTCTAATCATGGTAATAATAATGCACCAAAGAACCCTCCTCACCATCAGTAGTGGAAAACGAAGGAACAAAATCATGAAGTGGTGCAAGCAGCAAAGACAGAAAATGCATGCTATAGATGTGGAGGAAAAGGGCACCGATCACGTACATGTCGTACGTCAAAGCACCTGGTTGAGCTGTATCAAGCCTCCCTGAAGAAGACAGAGAAAAATGCTGAAGCAAATTTTTTTTCTGAAGATAATTTAGACTTCATGCATTTGGATGTAGCTGATTACTTTGCACTCCCGGAAGGAGAAACATGTCATGTGATCGGTGATGAATCTGTAGAAATATAAATATTTTATTTTTTATTGTTTGTAGTAGATAGTATGGTTATGTAATTGTTGTATATAAATAAAAGGTATGCTTTGATAATGATATTTACTATCATATTTATTTTGTTTATGTCATTTTAAAGAATATGGATAATCCTCAAATTATGTTTGGATCAAAGACCAATCATGAAGATATTTGTGTAATTGACTGTGGAACAATTCATGCCATATTCAAAGATCAGAAATACTTTTCTTATTTACATAAGGAAAAATCGAATGTTTCAACAATTTTTGGTAATATAAGTTTAATTGAAGGCTCCGGAAGAGGCACTATATTTATGTCTAAGGGAACAAAACTTATAATAGATAATGCATTATTCTCCTCCAAGTCCCAAAGAAACTTGTTGAGTTTTATAGATATCCGCCGAAATGGGTATCATGTTGAGACGATAGATGAAATGAATATGGAATATTTTTGTATTACAAAGAATGTTTCTGGCCAGAAGTGCATTGTAGAAACATTACCAACTTTATCTTCTAGCTTATACTATTCAAAGATTAGTACAGTTGAAGTACACTTTATCGTAACCCAGAAGTTTACTGATTCAAATATTTTTGTGCTTTGGCATGACCGTTTGGGCCATCCTGGATCAATAATGATGAAGCGAATTACTGAAAATTCGAGTGGGAATCCATTAAAGAACCTAAAGATTCTTACAAATAATAAATTTTTCTTGTGATGCTTGTTATCAAGGCAAAATGATCACTAGGCCATCACCAATGAAGGTTGGCATTGAATCCCCTACCTTTTTAGAACGTATACATGGGGATATATGTGGACCTATTTACCCACCAAGTGGGTTGTTTAGATATTTTATGGTCCTAATAAATGCATCTTCAAGATGGTCTCATGTGCGCCTAATATCATCTCGCAACCTGACGTTTGCAAAGCTATTAGCTCAAATAATTCGATTAAGGGCACAATTCCCAGATTATCCTATAAAGGCTATTCGCCTTGATAACACTAGAGAATTCTCATCTCAAGCTTTTGATGATTATTGTCTATCAGTTGGGATAAAAGTTGAACATCCTGTAGCTTATGCTCCTACTCAAAATGGCCTTGCAGAGTCATTTATTAAATGCCTGTAATTGATTGCAAGACCACTATTTATGAAAGCAAAATTGCCCACAACTATTTGGGACTATGCTATTTTGCATGCAACATCACTTATCCATCTCAGACCGACATATTATAATAAATATTTTCTGTCACAATTAATTTTTGGTCATGAACCAGATATTGCCTATCTACAAATTTGTGGATGTGTTGTGTATGTGCCAGTAGCACCACCACATCACAGTAAGATGGGCCCACAGAGAAGGTTAGGAATATATGTTAGGTTTGAATTACATTATATTATTCGCTATCTTGAACCATTGACAAGAGATTTCTTTACTGCTCGATTTGTAGATTATCGGTTTGATGAATCAAATTTCCCACAATTGAGGGGAGATAAAAAGGAAATCAAAAGAGAAATTGTGTGGAAAGTTTCATCATTATCTTATTTTGATCAACGTACCCCTATATGTAATCAGGAGGTCCAGAAGATCATCTATTTACAAAATATAGCAAATCAAATGCCATACGCATTTACTGATTTGAAAAGGATAAATAAGCCACATATCCCTGCAGAGAATGTGTCTATACGAATTGATGTCCCAGAAGGACCATCTACTAGCATGAGAGCTAGTGAACCTAAAGCAAGCCTGAAGCGTGGTAGGCCTTTGGGTTCTAAGGATCGAAATCCTCAAAAAAGAAAATCGACAAATGATCAAAATGATACAATGAAGGGATCCTCTGAAGAGACCCAAGATCTGATTAGTTCTAAGATTCCTGAAGAAATCTATGAACTTGAGACTCAAGTGAGTGAGAAACTTTTAATAAGTTCTACTGGTGAAGGGATTAATTTAAATCGATCTGAAATAGTGGTGATAATATTTTTTGCATATAATTTTGCACTTAACATTATGCAAGATAGTCAGGATCTTGAACCCCGATTTGTCAAAGATCTGATTGGCCAAAATGGCAAGAGGCAATTCAATCAGAATTGAACACACTTGCTGAAAGAGAGGTCTTTGGACCAGTAGTCCAAACACCTGCTGGTATAAAACCAGTTGGTCATAAATGGGTTTTTGTGCGAAAAAAGAATGATAAAAATGAAACTGAAAGATGCAAAGTTTGTCTTGTCGCACAACGATTCTCACAACGACTTGGAGTCGATTTTGATGAAACATATTCACCTGTTATGGGTGCCATAATATTTTAATATCTTATTAGTTTAGCACTACATGAAAAGCTTGAAATACATCTAATGGATGTAATTACAGCTTATCTGTACGGTTTACTTGATAATGAAATTTATATGAAAATCCCCGAAGGACTTAAAATGCCTTAAGAAAATCCAAAATCTCGGGAAATGTATTCAATCAGATTACAGATCTTTGTACGATTTAAAGCAATCTGGGCGTATGTGGTACAATCGCCTTAGTGAATATTTGTTGAAAGAGGGTTACATAAATGATGTTATTTATCCATGTATTTTTATAAAGAAAATGGTATTAGAATTTGTTATACTTGCTGTTTATGTTAATGACATAAATCTTGTTGGAACTCCAGAAGAGCTCCAAAAGGCAATTGAATATCTTAAGAAAGAATTTGAGATGAAAGATCTTGGAAAGACAAAACTTTGTCTTGGTCTGCAAATTGAATATTTAGCAGACGGGATCTTTATCCATCAATTTGCCTATACATAAAGGGTCTTAAAATATTTTTACATGGACAAAGCGCACCCATTAAGTACACCAATGGTTGTTAGATCACTTGAGGTGAATAAGGATTTGTTCCGACCTCCATAAGAGGATGAGGAACTCCTTGGTCCAAAAATACCTTATCTTAGTGCAATTGGTGCACTTATGTATCTTGCTAATGCTACAAGGCCTGACATACCATTTTCTGGTAATTTACTAGCAAGATATAGCTCTTCTCCTACACGGAGACACTGGAACGGGATTAAGCATGTATTGCAATATTTAAAGGGTACACTTGATATGGGTTTGCTTTATTCTAAAAAAGGTAGTGTAGATCTTGTTGGTTATGCAGATGCAGGTTATTTATTTGATCCACATAAAGCTCGATCTCAAACTGGGTACATGTTTACATGTGGAGGTACTGTCATATC